AAACAGAAGATTGCTAGCTACAAACGTGAAGTTGATCAATTGGAGAAGAATCGATCAATTGCAGAGGCTAATGCTCAACAGTATTCACAGAAACTGAAGGCATCTAAATTATTATAATGGTTAACATACTATAAATAATTGTATGATCGTTTATTTCTACTGCCAGTTTGTATGCCAATGTCCATATTTCAGCCTTGCAGTCTTCATACCGATATAATCGAGCATATTCACCGGCCGTTATCAGCATGCAAAGTATAAGCTTAGGCTCCTAATCCTTGACAATTTTTTTCTATTGACAATAAAGTATGTTCACATAATTACTGGGCTACAAGCTTTCGATAATAGCCCGACACAATAAATACTCTCTAGCAACTTACAAAGTAGCGACTAAACAGTTTCTTCCACTTCTTCAAACAGTTTTGCAGATACAACTTAAGATTGGTGTCCTTTTTTACATTTATCATAGTGTAAGCAGGAACTACATTTGGAGATTTGTTCTCGACTAGATCTCGTAGCTTGGGAGCGCACAGAGCAAACGTTGTACTTTCTATTTCCAACTCGCAAGTTCTCCGCAAAGGTAAAAAGACTTAAATTAGCTTCCAAGTACAGAACAGCTACAGAGTTCGACTTTTTCTGCTTCAAATCGTGTATAGCTTGCTCATGGTACTCCAGAATAGAGTTCTCGTAATTGAAACCTAAGAAATAATACCCTAATAACTGCACCGTGTGTGCATATTGATCACTCGGCTGTAGCTTCCTCAATTTTTCCAGAACCGCTGCCACGCCGTTTGCAAATGCGACCTGTTCCTCCAGTAAACTTTTGACTTTACGCAGACACAACGCGGTAACATCGTACTTAGAGATATCGATTGAAAGTCTAAGTTCGCTCTTTATCTCATCTTCATCACTGGTCAAGCAGTCCAGCATAGCTAAGCTTGCGACTTCTTTGGGCGTAATTTTCTTAATGTGCACCCATCTACGAAAAGCTTTTGTGTTTAACTGGTTATACGTTAACAAGGCATTCAATGTGCACACAGTCGCAGCTTTCCTACAAATTATTGCTGTAATATACAACGCTCAATCTGTCCAGCACGAAAGAGATATTCTCAAGATACCTGAAGCTCTCAGAATCTGTAGGGCTCGGTTCGACTCCGTCGAGTCGAGAGATGCAACTGCACAAGAAGGTGAACAAACAGTAAACACACGCTTTCCTCGTACACATGTTCAGACAGTACGCCTACGTTGTAAGTTAAATTGCGACACGTATTCCATGATTGTCTCCAGCGCTTACATTCGGATTCCTTCATTTCACGAATGACCCACTCGACATTCCGCTTCATAATTTTCCTAGTAACAGCGCACGCTTTCGCCAGCAGAGTTTTAACGGGAAACTTACATACTAGACTGACGAATCTGCATTTCATCACTACGGCGTTGTACAAGTCCCTCTTAACTGTACAGAGTTTGCCCAGGCACGACTTGCACTTGACCGACACGTGCGTGGAGTAAAATTCATCTCTGTTCATGTGTACAAATTCATTAGTTCCGGCAAGACGCCAGTGTCGAGCAAACGCTCGAGCGTGCTCTTGTCGGTGTCCAACTGTCCACGCGCTTTTCCCAGTAAGCGAGCACAGGCTCGAATATCTCCGCGGCGCTGATCGCATTCCATCGAAGACCTCCCGCGTATCCGTACTTCCGCGCAACGTTCGTATCGCGGTCGACAATACTTTGTATACTTTTGGCACTGTCGCCGACAATACCCTCCATCGGCACTAAAAGGGTCGTGCACAAGCTGCGAAATTGTCGAAAGCACTGCCGACATTCCTCGTCCTCTGCCAGAAGTAACTGCTCGAAATAACTGAACAGTTCCAGAGCACATATAATAATGTACATACATCAAATGTTTCAATATAACCTAAAAATACATGCTGTATGAATTTTTGTATTATAGTATATATTAAAAATGCAAATGATAATAAATTGATAATCTATACTTACGTATGTATTATCAATGTTCTCTAATAATTTAATTTCTCTCAGAGATAAACCTGACAGCCACGCCGGCGTTTCACTCTGCTGAACGCGGCCGTTATGAATGGCCACATTGGCCACTAGCGTTGCAGTCTATGTTCTTTTGGGGGCGAGGGACGCTGGAGGCCGGGACTGCCGGGAGGGATATCTGTCAGCTGTCTGTCTTTGTCCCATGCACGGTAAACTTGACATATCCCCTCGGCCTCCAGCGTCCCTCGCCCCCAAAAGAACATAGACTGCAACGCTAGTGGCCATTACAAGAACTACAAAATTTCCTCACTAAGCGACCTACCCCCACCATCGAAAATTAGAGGCAGTCGGGAGACCTGTATACAAGACCGTGCCATAAGGAAACAAAACAGCTGACCGCAGTAACGTGCGCGAAAGTAGATTCCGTAACTGAATGAATTGTCTCACACGCCTTCGAATTTGTTGCACGGATGAATAACACTACGATGTCAGCGACCAAGAAACACACGACCGAGAAACAGCGGCTGAAAAAGATGAGGTACTTAAGTCCGCTTGCTCACTTACAGAAAACAAATCTCACGAGTCTCCTTTTTTAACTCGGCTCGAACTTTTCTTTAAGCAAGGCGCAGGTGCAGTTAGCTGTGATAAAAAAGAAGCGATGCGATGCGAAAGCCCTCGCGATAGTCGAACAGCTCCTGGAGTCGCACGTGAATCCTGACTGGCTCCTCCAAAATGTAAGCGCTATCGGTAAACGCCTACCCTTTGGGCGTCATTAATATCGTAGTAATTCAATGATTTGCTATTGCAGCTAGGATTCATAAGTAAAAGCCACATGGAAGATGCGATAGAGGAGAGAGCGATAGTGAAGCTGTGCGGTTACGTTCTCTGCTCGAATCAACTGACCGTCGTCATCCGGCAACAGTTTCACATATCGATGCGCAGGAATAAGGTGTACGACGTGAGCAGGCGGAAGAACTTTTGCAGCTCGTCGTGCTATGGGGCGGCCCAATTTCTCCTAGAGCAGATGCTCGAGAGTCCGCTGTGGTTGAGGGAGAAAGAGGACACAACACCGGTCTTCCACATTCTGCCTCTCAACTCTACACCTGGGCAGTGCGGGGACGAGATCAACGTGGAATAATAAGTATTGTACGCGATATTTTGTCAGAATGTCTTGCACTACATGGAAATCAGGTCCTCTAGGATTAGGCAGTTGAGCAGTATATTAACAACCTACTTTCAGAAAAACAAATTTTGCCTCGGAATCTTGAAAAAGGCCTCCGATGGCAGATTGGAGGAAAAAAAATTGCAAGAGTTCGATTTAGACTGTAATGCCGTTGAATAAATAGAATAACATTTTTTCATTATATTTATACAAGTTTTATTATTAAAAAGTATAACTATTAAAAAATCTTCGGGAACTCGTGGACGACAAAATATTAAATTACAAAATACATCAATGATAATAGTGATCACTGTGATGTGTATGATTGATAATTTGATATCTTATCATCGCTATATCTACGAATTTTCTAAGGGAATTTTTTAAACAACCTCTTTAGTTTATGAATATTTCTTATATTCGTAAACTAAGAAAGATATAACTCTTTCTCCTTTATTTCTCTTAAACTAGATGGTTTTAAAGTGGACACGTGCTCGATGTTGAAGGTGGTATTCCAGTAAACACAGAGGGGGAACAATCGAGACTTAACGGGTCCATTTGAGCTGTCGCTGCTAATTGGTCCTCTGTGGAATGACTGCCGACTCTGTCGCGTAAAGACTCGTAAAGATTGTGGACTGCTTCGTTGTGCTGCAAATTTAATAGATGTTAAATCAATAATTTAAGATTAATACACGAGTAATAAAAACAAAATATCTTTATAGCAAAATTATCACATCTAATGTGATGGACTTTTATGAATGTTGTAAAGTATTACCTGACTTGTTGGTTGCAAGGCTTTCAGTAAGGAATGTAACCGCGCGGACGGCAATTTAGGGTATATGTACCAAAGTAATTTCAACAAATGTCGTGTTACGTTGTCTCGACCTAAACCGGCTAGGAAGAATTCGTCAAAGATGACCGTACAGAAAGACTCGTTCGAGAATTCGTCAGACATATTCATTAATAACGAAACCTGTAATTAAAGAAACAACTTTGTCAATATGAAAGCTTGTAATTTGGAACTCGACGCGCAATTGTAACGGGCAACGAATAGATATTGATATTTTTTAGCCATAGCTTGAAATTATTACTCAATTATATTAGATACATTACCAGCGTGTGTAGAAATGGATCTTCGAAAGCGCGTTGCGCTTGGCAATTTGGTAGTGTCGCGAGTATCCTCATCAAGCCTCTGGCATCTCCCTTGCTCCTCCCAACCCCGCTGCCACCGCCGACATGTAATGCATAGTACATCGACAGAACTGCCGCGACTCCAGAAAGCTGAGCGTACGCCTGGCACGCATCGGGAGGTGGTCCAGAATGTTCTATAATCGCGATTGCACTTTCCCGCTCATCGGGTGGAAGTTTACAGTTAAGCTGCCTTATTTGATCATCAACCTAACAAATAGCAATACAATACTTGTATATGTGCATGTTTCTATATCACAAAAATGAATTAATTCTCCGCGAGATGTTTTAATTATCTACCATGAGCGACATGAGTGCTGGCAGGAACTTTGTGACGACTTGACTGTCCAGTTTCGGCTCCTTAAAGTCTTGCGTATCGATCATCTGCCACGCGGACAGTCCCAGCGCGAGCATTCTCAACAATAATACGAGCACTGCATTTTCTCTGGGCAACGCCTCGCTGTTTATCAGATGAAGCGCTATTTTTATTACACTGCTGGCGAGAAAGTTTACCGCATAGGGATCGCACAAAGTCATACTTAGATCCCCCAACACCTGCTCCTGTCCCCTCTGTACAAAACTATAGATTATATCGTTTTCCTGATGCAGACGATGTTATAAAATGCAATCCTCATTCAATTCCGTACCTTAATGCTGTCCAGGAAGCCCTGCAACTCGCGAGACCGTTTAATATCCACGTTCTTTTCTCTGATACACGCATCCAGACACCATGTGAACTTGTGACATGGATCCACAGAAATGATATCTTGCACCTAGCAACAAACCGGGTTCAAGTCGAAACAATACAACCTTATCATACAACATTACGCTTCACTAATAATAGAAAATGAATCAATAATAGTATAAACAGAGTATGGCACAGATTTGAGCTGCTTAGGAAATAAACAATCCCGACTCAACGCTGAAGCAACGCTGATTTTTATGCAAACGTGTTCTCTAACAATAAGTAAAATAGCAACCAAGAATATTCCGTCACATATAGACGCTAGGAGCTGAACATGGATTTAGTTTAGGGCTAAAAACTCCATCTTAATATTACGAAAACACAGAAGAAAAGTGGAAGTCAAGGGTCACCTGCAGCGCTATTATAATATAAATATAATAGTATAATATAATAATATGCAATGAGACAAATATGTTGAGTGTACTCACCTCTAAATCATGCAGCGCCATTAACAGTTCTGCTCTCAGGGTGCAATAGTGAATGTTTTTTGTGCGTAAGAACAAGGTCCTTAGAAATTGCAGTACCATGTCGTACAGTTTTACGCTGTGCCCAATCATATGGGCTAATTTCTGTACGACTTCCCCTTGTCTTCTCACCTGTGCAAATGAAAGACTTGTACGATGCGACTTGCACAATTTAACACAACAAGCACAGTCGTAACGTACCTTGGGGGATGGCATAAAAAATAGATTGGTGAGGTTGCAGTGGTCGAATAAAATTTGCTCTTTCTCAATGATGTAACGGCTGAAGAGTGGGGAGACCTCGTCGCCGAAGAGACTCTGATTGTCTCTCCAGATTTGACGCTTCACCTCCGTACCGGCGTCGTTGTAGAGCTCCTTCTCCCTCACCTAGAGATAAGAAAAACTTTTTTACCTTTGAGTAAAAAAATAGTTTTTAACTGTAAAAACGATTCTTTTTTCAAAAGATTAAAGAAAAGGAGAATTATTTTTCTTGCTATTTATCGTTAAAACATTTCATATCTACGTTACTTCGATATTATTCGTCTTTTGTCTTTCAAACTTTGCATATTGAGGCGGAAACATTGTTCAATGCCTAATAGCGAATTCAGGCAGTTGCACTAGTGTACGCTACTTGTAAGTACCGGGCCCAAGGCCGGTATTCATAATCCATTCTTATAGGTATTTAGGATCATCTTAAGTATAATCTTAATTGTGTGTTTTAAACCAATCGCAGAACCATAGCATCTTAAGACATTACCGAGGGGTAAACCGCCGAGGGCATTGTGGTGTACAGATTTGCATTACTAGGCATTTTTTGGGCATTAGTTTGGGCATTAGGCCTTGCTGAGGCATTATAAAGATAAAATTAGATTAAACACGAAAAATACACATAAATAAGATAATATAAACTAATACCCACTGGGCATTAGTAGACATTGGTGGATTGGGAAAGTTACTTTATAAAACTAGTTACAGTTACAGTTTTTTCGCTAACAATGTAACTAGTTACAGTTACAAGTTACCAATTCTGAAAAGTAACGCGTTACAGTTACAGTTACTCGAAAAGTAACGAATCGTTACTTTGCAGTTACTCCCTTGCAATAGAAATAAAAAAATATCGAATCTACATCTGAATTGTAAAGCGGCGACCTTAGCGGAAAAAATTTCTATAAATAACTACAAAAAATTGACTTGAAATAAAAATAGAAATTTGTAGAAATTTGTATATCTTCGTTGAAACATTTATTTCTTTGTAAAAATATCTATAAAATAGTATCACAAATTACAATGTTCTCAAATCAAGAAATTATTGCAAGTAGTATTTCATGAAAATGTACAATTTTGTAAAAATTAATACAAAACTTTACTAGTTTTAAAAATTTGAGAAACAACGAAATCGTAAAGAATTAAAACATCTGCTTACTTGTAGAATATTACAAAAATTAACAAGTGTTCCAATTCTAGCATTTTTATGTTGATTTTATTTTTATAAACACTTTTTAAATTTACGTAGAATTTCGTAGATTCTGGCAGTTATATTTAATTTTTTTGTAGAATTTTGTAGAATTATTTCCGGCAAGGGATAAAGACGTTTATGCGTAAATGCAAGGCCTAATGCGATCTGTGGAGGTTGAGAAAACATATAAAATAACTATTAATGTAACTATTAAATTAGTTACTAGTTATCGAAAAAATGTAACTGAGTTAAGTTACAGTTACAGATGTAGAGAAAGTAACGAAGTTAGAGTTACCAAAAAGAAGTAACTGTAACTGTAACTTCGTTACAAGTAACGAATTACTTCCCAACCCTGACTTTTAGGAATGAATAATTTCGAAATATGACTATTTCTTTGATACAGAATTCCTTGTCTGGTAAATATGGCTTCGTCTGTCCATAAAATGTTTTGCGAGAATTGTAAATCATAATTTGTTTGATTTAAAAACCAATCGCAAACATACAGTACGACGGAACTTTGTTTACGAAATCGAAGGTCATTGATAGGCTTTTATTTGCATGGTAAACAAAGCATCGTATCATCGTACTTAGTTCGTTGAATGCTTTCGTCGAATAAACTGGTATGAAGTGCCTGTTAATGATCTTCAATCATTAAAACGGAGGATAGCGCAGGCGTGTAACGAAATTACAGACACATAATGTCAGTCGGCCACTCATTCTGTCATTGATAGGTGCAATGCATGTCTACAAGCTGGAGGCCATCATTTTGAACAAAACGTTTAATCATTAAATTTTTATTATTAAAAAGCAATAAAGAGGATAAATCTAAATTATTTCAAAATTATTCATTCCCAACAGTTCATAACTTCAAAAGTCAATATCTCGTGAACAGAATGTTTACGAGCATATTTCCAGAGGGAAATTTTTCTTGCTTTGAGGTCCTAAATAGATCTTTCAAGTTTGGCCATTTAATCCGGGAGCACCCTGTATATATCCGAGTAAGTTTCAAGGATGGAGTAAAAAAACTGATTTTCACTGGGTCCTTTACTCAAAGTTTCTTTCGATACTTTTCATCACTACCCTTACCAACACTCTTAGATATTTATCGTCAATGTGCGGGGTGTTCCTTAAGATGCGCATAACCACGGGTCGCAGGGCGGCGACTCGGACGGCGGGGAAGCTCTTGGACAGCAATTCCTTCAGCCTCTTGTCCCCGGACGTGCCCTTGTCCGCCCGCTCGGCGCCAATCTCGTCGATCTGCTTGATCAGCTTCTCGCGCAACTCCTCGAGCACGGAGGCGTGAAAGTCCAGCCTCCTGACTCCGTGCAGATCGAGCAGAGGCAGCATAGGCCGCAACGACGGCAGCAGGATGCCATTTTCCAGCTGAAATGTCAATATCGTCACGAATGTAAAACGCTACGGATCCAAGCTAAACTACCCAACGACGCTGCCGTCTTCATTACATATTTGGTTTTTTTTTTTACCTGAAATCCCTCGATGGCCTTCAGCGGGTCCGTACAACTCGTTAGAGCGTCTCTCAGATCAATCTGCCCCGGTATGCCGAGGTCCTCCAGCCCGTTACCGGTCTCGCCGTTACTCTTGGCCGAATTCATGGTGCCGTCTTATCAGCGCGAGAGGCGTGCACTCGATTACTTGCGTCGCATCACAGACCGAACGCGCGTTACTTTCTCACGCGACAAACATCATGATCCAAATCCGTTAGTCGCTACTCAACGGCAGTGTTTACAAACTGCTCGACACTTCCCTCGCACTACCAAGCCATGCCTGGGCTCTGTCACGTGCGAGCCGGGTTTCCGAAATTTTGTTTACCCAACGGTAAATATTTTTGAGTTAAAATAGAATAGTTTTATACGACAGCCGGCGTATCACGGAGCTTCGTCGGTCCACCGAGTTTCAATAAATATAAACAATGTTAGAACAATGTTGTCCAATTCTTTAGCCCTCCTGCTCCAAGCAAGCAAATTCTCTCTATGAAGCCAAGCTGCACACAGCGTCACTTCCTGTCGGTGTGGTATTTTGAATGTGTTCGAAAATGGATTTAGTTACTGCCAGTGAAAACAGTATAGTTGGTAGCAATGAAAATTACTGGTGCTGCGTTTTTCGCACGCCAGTAAAGTCAATAAGGCTGGGTCTACATCATGGACCTAAGAATCTCTGGACCGAGCACGAAGTGGGAGAACGGGCAAGGGGGCTGGCAAATTTGCGGTAAGGGGGGGGCGAGAGTGCTCTCCTTTTCTGTCCTCTTGGTATCTCATATATGGTATCTCTTTCTACAAGAGGTCACTGTGACCTCTTGTAGAAAGAGAGGTCCAAGAGGATAGAAAAGGAGAGCACTCTCGCCCCCCTTACCGCAAATTTGCCAGCCCCCTCGCCGTATGCTCGGTCCAGAGATTCTTAGGTCCATGGTCTACAT